GAAGTATCAGCTGGTTTTAACACTAGTGTAGTGTCTCAACCGTTGGCTCCAATTGGCACTACTGCTGTAAAAAGTGATGCCCAGGCTGATATTAGATCCCACACAATCAGGTATTTGCTCGCTTTGAAAAAACATTTAAACCCAATAAGTTAATACGTAGATTTCTAATCATTCTTTTTATCAACAGGTCACTGAACACAAGCTCGCTTCCTGTAGTATCAGGTAGTGAGAAAAATCTTGGGCGCAGCTCAATTGTTGACAACAAGAGTAAGGTTCTGGACAATGTTCAAGCATCTTTGGACGCATGGGGTAATTCACGGATCAATCAACAGGTGTGCAAAACAACTATGTTGTAAATCTTGTGTTTTACCATAGGTTTTTCATTTTTGTTCTGAATAGATTCTGTAAGGTTACTGTGTTCTTTTTTGTTGGTTTCTTCACTGTGTTGCTTCTGTGACATGCATTGGGTGCTTTTTATTTGCACCCAAGCATATTTTTTTGTGTTATACAAATGAGTTGTTCACTGTTCTCGTTCTTCTTATGGTTTAATTTACCTCATTTGTGTTCCATTATTGCTCCTTTTTTGACACACACACACACACACACACATCTCTTGGTTGTACTGATGAAGCAACATATTGCTGCAGTGTGTTTCCCTTTTTTTTCTTTTTCCCCTTCTGTATACTGCCTAGAGTGCAATTGATTGACTTCATCCAGCAGGTTATATCCTTGACACAGACCCAACTTGATGAGGCTATGAAGCCTGGGCAATTTGGCTCTCATGGTTCTGTTGGAGAAATTACCTAGCTCAGTTTGTGAATCCAGCATGCCATCTTCATCAATCTTGACAAAGGAGAATCCATTTTCTTCTGCTGCAAATCCAATCAATTCCCTGCTTGCTGGCGAGAAAATCCAATTTGGTGAGCATGCTAAAAATCTCGGGAGTTTGCTAAAAGTTGCAGTCGTCATTTTTCTGATCATTTTATCCTTCTATATTCAGGTGCTGTCACGTCTCCAACAATACTTCCTCCTAGTAGCCGCTCTGTTTCACATGGAATTGGTCCACCAGGACCATCTCGGTCTGACATGCAACTATCGCACAATCATTCTGCAGCTGAAAATGATTGTGGTCTTCTCTTTGAGAAAGAGAAACACACGGCTGAGTCTTGTGTTCATTTGGAAGATTGTGAATCAGAAGCTGAAGCAGCTGCTTCAGCTGTTGCTGTTGCAGCCATCAGCAGTGATGAAATTGCTGGGAATAGTTTGGGTGCTTGCTCTGGTTCAGTTGCAGATATTGATGGGATAACAGCAGGTGAATACTTATTTTTCTGGTGTAGAGACACACATTCCTTTTCTCCTTATAATGTTTATTATCTTATTAGAATTATTTTTAATCTCTGGTAGCTGGAGCTGGTGATCAGAAATTTGCCAGTCAATCAAGGGCCATACAGTCTCTAAGTGTGTCCCTTCCAGCAGATTTATCTTTGGAGACCCCACCAATCTCATTAAGGCCACCTTTACCAGGTCAGAATAATTTCATTATAACCAATTTTGTTTTGACTGCCCGTCCTAAGAATGTTCAAGGTGCTGATATAGATGGGATTACAGCAGGTGTGAATGGATTTTTTGTTTTAGTATTGAGTGTTGCCTTATATTTAATGATTCTTCTCATACTAGAGTTTTTAATCTTTAGTAGGTGGAGCTGGTGATCAACAATTAGCCAGTCAATCGAGGGCTGAAGAGTCCCTCAGTGTTTCCCTTCCAGCAGATCTATCTGTTGAGACCCCACCAATTTCGTTATGGCCACCCTTAACAAGTCCTCAGAATTCTTCAGGCCAAATGCTTCCACATTTTCCTGGTGGCCCACCTTCCCATTTTCCCTTTTATGAGATGAATCCCATGATGGGGGGTCCTGTTTTTGCTTTTGGACCACATGAAGAATCTGCATCTACTACCCAAGCACAATCGCAAAAGACTAGTGCACCAGTTTCAGCGCCACTTGGAACTTGGCAGCAATGCCATTCCGGGGTAGATTCATTCTATGGTCCTCCTGCGGGTTTTACTGGTCCTTTCATCAGTCCAGCTGGAGGCATACCAGGTGTTCAAGGCCCTCCACACATGGTTGTCTATAACCATTTTGCGCCTGTAGGACAATTTGGACAAGTTGGCTTGAGTTTCATGGGTACTGCTTATATTCCATCAGGAAAGCAGCCTGATTGGAAGCACAACCCTGCATCTTCCTCCATGGGTGTTGGTGAGGGGGAGATGAACAGTATAAATATGGTTTCTGCACAGCGCAACCCTACCAACATACCTGCTCCGATCCAGCATTTGGCCCCTGGGTCACCACTCCTTCCCATGGCTTCACCATTGGCCATGTTTGATGTTTCTCCTTTCCAGGTAAAATTTCAACATGTTGATCTAATACATACCCCTCCCTGCTTAGTGGTTTTTAGGTTTTGCAACATAGTGGGCTTTGGGGAGAGTTCTCTCTAAAGAGAGTGGGAAGGGGAATGCTTTGAGTGGTAGATTTTATTCCTTTTAGAATTTGTTACGGGTACATGAATCTACAGCTGGTGCAAGAGATAAATATGTTAAATTTTCAATGTATTTCTATTTGGTTGCGAGCAGTTACCATACTCTTTCTTTCTGGAATAACCCAACTAACGAGTTTGTAAAAATTGTTGTCCCCAGCCTTCTGATATGTCAGTTCAAGCACGCTGGCCCCATGTTCCTGCATCATCTCTTCAGTCTGGTCCTCTTTCAATGCCAATGCAGCAACAGGCAGATGGTACACTTCCTTCTAAATTTAGCCATGGTCCTACTGACCAATCATTGCCAGTCAACAGGTTCCCCGAGTCCCGGACTTCTACATCCTTTGACAACAGTCGTAGTTTTCCTGTATTGACTGAAGCCACTTCCACCCGATTTCCAGATGAACGGGGTTTAGTAGACCCTACAAGCTCCGGCAGCACTGGGGCTTCAACACAGAATGTTGTCACTAAGAGCTCATGTGTGAGTTGCACCGTAGATAATGCCAAGACTGATGTTGATCAGAATCTCGGTACCAGTTCTAGTGGACATAACGCAAGTTCTAACGCCAAGTCACAGTCTTGTATGAACAAGAGTAATATCCCTAACCAGCACTATGGCAATTCATCATATTATCAGAGAGGTGGTGCATCGCAGAAAAATAGTTCAGGCGGTGACTGGTCCCACCGAAGAATGGGGTACCAAGGAAGGAATCAGTCTCTGGGTGCTGAAAAGAACTTCCCAGCTACTAAGATGAAGCAAATATACGTGGCTAAACAGACCTCAAGTGGGAGTTCAACAGCCTCGTGAGGAGCCTCATAAAATTAGTTGCCGCTTGCTGGGTTCAAGAAAATGACTGCAGGTTGAAACAGTTGTTCAGGAATAAAAGATTTTTTGTTTCTTTTTTTCGCAGCATCTGTTGCACCGGTAGGTGCGGTGTCTAGTATTTAGATTGAGATTTTGTTGACAGATGTAGGTGTTAGGGTATGCTGGTTTTCCCAACGAAGGTTTGCAAAAACTGGCAGCACGCAGGTGATATGATGGGAAATTTTGGGCCTGCCTGGTGCTGCCTTAGAGGCAAAGGGGAATGATTTTTAAGTACTAGATGTTGTTGACAAGGCAACTTTGTGATATTATTTTCAGTTGTGGTCCGTCGATCGGGTTTCGTTGTTTGAAATCTTTGTTGGCTGCAAACCGAACTGTCAATTTATTGGAGAATTTCATGTACTAAAAAACAAACGCTGTTATAATCCAGGTAAAATTCTTTTTGCAATTCTGGTAAATGATAGATGTGGCCTCCTAGGGATGTTTTTCCCCCTTCTCCTTGAATTCACTTTTATCTATATATGTAATTTAGATTGTGATCAACGATTCCTATTTCTGCGGTTGGGTTTGGAGTAGGCATTCAGTCGCACATGCGCATATAATAATAATTGGAGTAGGCATTCAGTCGCACATGCGCATATAATAATAAAGTCATGTAGTAATGGAGCTTATATTTTAATTACGTGGTGAGTGTGGTAGACGTGATGTCACGAGTAGCCTTAGCCCTGGTGTGGTAGGCTTTCTTTTCGGTTACAATCAAATTGTTGTCTTTGTTCAAACTCGTCACCGCATCGTCAGTAGTTCAGTACAAGATAATGCCGTACAGTAGACCTGTAAACGGGTTGAGTTTATTGGGTTTAGGTCAGGTTCAATTTGACCCGTTAATTTAACGGATCATCTGAACTTAACCCGTTAAGCTAACGAGTGATCCGTTTCACCTGTTAACAATTTTTTATGGTTCAGCTTTTTGAGGTTTTTCTTACCAAACCCCCGTTGAAGACAGCCTTAATGAAGAAAAGTCATCCTCAAATTATTTCAGTCCAACCAGAAAGCACAAGGCCGCCATGGACGGCAGCCGAGTCGACTGGACAAACCTCCCACACCAGCTCCCCCTACTCATCGCCGACCGCCTCCAAACCCACCTCGAACACCTTCGATTCCGCAGCATCTGCAACTCCTGGCGCTCCTCCAGTCCCCGCTTCCAAAGTTCCAATCCCCCCAGATTCCCTATTCCGCTCTCCCAAGGGCTCACTGCCTTCCTCTCCCAAACCACCGTATACCTCGTCCGCACCAACCCAGGTCCAAATTCAAGTCCAAAACCTTCCGCGTCATCATCTTCAACCTCTTCATCCAAGGGTTGGCTGCTGAAGCTGGAAGAGTCTTCTGGTTGGCTTCTGAAGCTGGAAGAGTCACTGCAATCGAATTTCGGCTGAGGGTTTTCTATTAGGACTATTGAAATTACACAAAAGTCCTCAACAACAGGTGCTAACGGGTGGTTAACGGATTTCGCGGGTTCACCTAAAATGACCTATTATTTAATGGGTGATTAACTAGTTGACCCTGGTAACCATCCGATCCGTTTATCACTCACTTGAATACTAATTTTAACGAATTTGATCGGATCGTGTTGAAAATGCTAGGTCTACCGAACAATAACATAATATTCCCGTACCATTTCGGACTTTGACCATTAATTTGACTCCGAATTTATTTTTTTTATTTATAAAAATTAAAATTTCAAGTGTTTAACCAAAAGAAAATTTTCAAAATTTCAAGTGGCTCGTCACCAAAACTGTCACGCCAAGCAAAAAAGGCACAAACACTAGTTCGTGGATAACCATGCCATTAAGTCATCATCTTCACCATCTCGGAGCCAGCCATTGTCCCACAACAAGAACTGGTCATCCTCCTCATGACCAACGCTGCTCTCCGCCGTCGCCACCACCCCCAGTTGCATATTCTCCGGCTGCGTCGCCTGGTTGAGTTTGACCTGATCAACCTTCTCCTCCTCCTTCTCCATGACCCCAATTTCGCTAATATTCTTTTGCTTTTGCTTATTAATTAATCCTGGATTAATACTGGCATTAGCACTAGTTCCACTACTAGAACTGTCGTTAGTCGTGACAATGTGACCGCCCGGGTCCGATGGGAAATTGAGCTTTGCCTTATTTCCGCGGAACTCGACGGCGGCCTTGTCGTAAGCCCTGGCCGCGTCCTCCGCCGTCTCGAACGTCCCTAGCCACACCCTCGCCGCCCGTCGTGGGTCTCGAATCTCGGCCGCCCATTTCCCCCACGGCCTCTGCCTGACGCCCCTGTACTTGTTCTTGCTCTTCCTCGTAGTTGGCGCATTCATCCCGACAAACCCGGTTCCCAAACTCAGTTGCTGGTTCCTGTTTTGATTCGGCAACGATGGCGAGAAGTAGTTGTCCTGTTGTGCTGGTTGGCCCGCTGCCAACTGGGTGCCGCTCGTCGAGACGGATGACGTGGCATTGTAGACCGGCGGCATTGGCTGAGGTGTGGGCCCACTGATGCTTCCACCGGAGATTACGTGCTTGAGGGCGGAGACCATGATGCAGTGCTCCTGCTCCTGCTGTATCCGATTCGCATGGAAGGGCATATTGGTCCGATATCTCTTCGCTCCACGGATATTAAAAAAAAACACGAAAATTCGAGAGAAAAATCTTTCAATTTCTTCGGAAAAAATGAGGAGTTGAGAAAACCCAGTGAGAGAAGAACACCGAGGAAAGCCGGCAGAGGGAGAGACTCGGTTTTATAGGCGGATCGAAGAGAGGGAGAGATAGAGTGTCGTGACCCACGTGTCAGCGGTCGGTTCACACCGTTTCAACACGCTATGGGGGGGTTTCTGTGGTTGTCCAGCTCGAGTTTACACCGCCGCTAGATATGCTGACTTTATCGCTGGCGTCACTAAAATGGTGTTGACGTGGCACAGCACGTGGCTGACGGCGCAGCCTTTCTCATACGAGTTTCCGCTTTCGCTTCAATGAGAGCTTGTCACCTGCACTCAACGGAAATAAAAGTTTTTTTTGGAGTTTTCCTCTGTCCTTAAGAATTTTATTTGAAGTTTTCCATTTTTCAAAAAATAAATAAATAACCTAACATAAAGATATAGTTAGATCCGGCAGTGCAGTGTTGGCCCTCAACTGTTTTATATTTAGGGTGATTTTGCATTTAAATTATAAAAGAAAAAAATTATAAAATTTGCCATTACAACTAGCACCCACTTCAATTGACATCTCATTTCTCATACTTTTTATATTTTGGAATAGGTCAACACATGCAGTGTCCATTTTCTGATTCTGTTTTTTATAGTTGGATTCAAATGCTGCATTGCAATGTCCATTTCCTGATTTTATTATTATTATTTTTTTCATCATTCACATGCCTACTACATGCTTGCTTTTATATTTGAATTCAGACACTTCAACGTAGTGTCCGTTTCTTGATCTGTTTTTATTTTTGGATTCAGACATTGCGTTACAATGTCATTTTCTGTTTTCGCTTTTTCATCTCTTGCACGCCTCCTACAAGAGGAAAACTGTAGCCAAATTGGAATTACTCGTCCCATTGTTCCTGGAATTATGCCCATTAATAACTACGAGGGTTCCATACCCCACTTTACAAACAAGAAAATGGCACACTGTAGATACCAACCAAGGTTACTGCTGCCTTGGAGCCTATCAAGGACAATGAAGAAGCTGTCAGATTATACGGAATTCACCTTGGAACCGAGATGTGCAAGAAGATTTTGGCTCATGGTATTAGGACATTGCATCTTTATGCTCTCAACATGGAGAAAATCTGCATTGGCTATATTAACGGTTTTCTTTTCATATATTTCTTCTTCTGTTTGACTTGACTTCAGATGTACATCAAAATAGTATGAGTTGTTTGATTAAAACTTACCACCAAATATGTTCCCCTTACAATTGTACTAACTACTTTGGCAGAATCTTGATCTGGTTGAAGAATCCAAATCAAGGCCATTACCTTGGAGACGCCCTGCAAATGTATTCCGTGTTAAAGAAGATGTTCGTCCAATTTTCTGGTATGCAACACAACTGCTCCCCCAAATACACATACACCCCTAAGAAAATATCTAATCGTCCTGGCAATTGATGGTAGGGCTAATCGTCCCAAGAGCTACATATAAAAAACCTTTAATATTTATGATTTGATTGTTGAAATGTCTCTTCTTGCATATTAGCATATTTATGATTTTGATTGTTAACATATTTATGATTTGATTGTTGAAATGTGTGCTTACTACACAGAGACCCCCCACCCTAGACACCTTTCCACTCGACCTTTCGATGGAAATTAAGTCAGTAATATTGACACGATCTTGTTCTCAACTTTTGCAGGTGCAAAGCAGCTACTTTTTGGTCAGTTTGGTAGATAATGACTACATCCGGGTGTTGGAGAGTTGACATTTTGTAATTAGTTTAGTTACCTTTTTGAGTCCTTATAATCAGTTTGTAATTAGGTTATTTGATGTTTATTTCTTTCCTTGTAAATCACTCTTGTACATTATATATTTTCCTCCTTGGTGAGAAGAATGATATCAGAAAATTAAGCCCCAAAGATAAACTCTAATTAGCATGGTATCAAAGCAGAGATCCTAGGATTTCTGCTCTGCCCGTTCCCTCAAACAAACTCGGCCCTCCCATGGAAAACCTACCACCACTCCATGGTGGAAACAACCCCATCCTAATCGATTCTACTCCTACACTAAACACTACTACCCTAATCGACCCTACCATGAATCCTACCCTACCTATACCTCAAGTTGTTACACAGATTGTCCATCATGATTCGTCTATTGCTTCGATTGGCATCAAACTCAATGGTGCCAATTATGGAGTTTGGTCTCAGATTGTTGAGATGTTTGTTGCTGGAAAAGACAAGTTAGGCTACTTGTTTGGGAGTAATCCCCAACCACCTATTGACGATCTGGCCTTCACCAAATGGCATACGGAGAACGCTATTGTGAAGGGTTGACTCATCAACTCTATGGAACCTAATTTGATTGGGTACTTTCTTCGACTACTGACGGCAAAGGAAGTGTGGGATGCGGTTGTTCGCACGTATTATGACGGCTCCGATATATCTCAAGTCTATGATCTTACCTGCAAGGCCTTTCACATGAGGCAAGATGGATGACCAATGGAGACATACTATAGTGATCTTCAATCTTTGTGGCAGGAGATTGATTATCGTTGACCTAATCCGATGAAGTGTGGTACTGATATTGAAATTTTTAATAAAATTGTTCAAACGGATCGTGTGTACACTTTGCTTGCAGGATTGGATGAGATGTTTGATAAAATTCATAGTGATATTCTACGAACTGAGCCCCTTCCTTCCGTCGAACAAACTTTTTCCTATGTTTGCCAGGAGGGAATGTGACAAGCTGTGATGAATATCGGAGGACAGCTGCCAAGTGGGGCAGCCATGGTGTCTCGGCCTCCCACACGAGCTGTAACTCCACCTTGTCCTCGTGCCCCCGATAAGTCACTTGCACTAAGCCCAGGACTGCAACCCTAGACTACTGCCCTGAGCTTAGCACAGGGCTTGCTTTTTGCTGCTAGGCCGACCTCACGGCCCACCATGGGTCCCCGTCCTCCTCGTCCTAAACCACCCATCCCGGTTGGTGGTTGTACTTACTACGGTAATGAGAAGCATAGCCGTGATAGTTGCTTCCAATTGCATGGCTATCCTAACTGGTGGGAACAGTTGAAGCTTCAGAAACAATAGGAACGAGACAAGTAAGCCAAGCTTGGGCAAGCCAATCTTGCCACCTCCATGTCCCAATATCTTTGATATCTCAAGATGATCCTCCTCCGGTTTTAAGTTCTTCCGACATGTCTCCGGAGTCCTCAGGTAACTGTGGTTATGTTTTTAATATGAATAATGATGTTACTCCATCCGGATGGATCATTGACTCCGATGGCACAGACCATATGACTTATGATCTCACTGATTTAGCTTGTGATACTGTTCCACTCCGACGTAGTATTACTAATGTTAATGGAGTCACCTCACCGGTAACTGGCGCTGGCACCGTGCGTCTCACGTCCACTCTCTCTTTGCCTCATACATTACTTGTACCTTTATTAAATCATAAATTGATGTCTCCTGGCTAAGCTACTGAACAATTGAACTGTTGTGTGCTAATGTATCCAAAGTTTTGTCTTATACAGGATATTCTCACGAAGGAGATAATTGGTCATGGTACTAAGATGGGGGATCTCTATTTTGTGGATGATGTCAGTACAGGACGGGTCACTCTCGCCCAAGGAGCTGTTGATCACAAGAGACATTGTTATGTCATCACCGTTTGGGTTATCCATCTTTTAGTTATTTGCAGCATATGTTTCCGGATTTATTTGTTAGTTGTTCAGTTTCAGACTTTAAATGTGACACTTGCATACTCGCCAAAAGTCACCGTGTTTCTTATCCGCTGAATTCTAATAAAAGTGTTATTCCTTTTGGTTTTGTTCATTCGGATGTTTGGGGACCATCTCCAATTACTACTTCATCTGGTATTCGATGGTTTGTAACATTCATAGACGATTGCACACGGATGACGTGGTTATATCTTCTTAAGCATAAAAGTGATGTTTTTTTTCGGCTTTTAAGACTTTCCACACCATGGTTTAGACACAGTTTTCTACTACAATACGGATTTTACGCTCTGATAACGGTGGTGAATATGTTAATAATGAATTTTCCCATTATTTAACTAATCATGGAATTCTTCACGAAACTACTTGTCCTCAGACTCCTCAACAGAATGGGGTGGCTGAGCACAAAAATCGTCATCTCTTAGAAACAGCTCGCTCACTCTTGATTTGCGCGTCTGTTCCCTGTTCTTCTTGGGATGTTGCTCTTCAAACCGTCACTTATCTTATCAACCGTCTGCCATCCAAAGTCCTGAATTTTCTTACTCCCTTACAAGTCCTTGCTACTTTCGTGCATCTACCGTCGATTTTGGTACTCCCTACCTCGGGTTTTTGGATGTGTTGCATTTGTTCATCTTCATAAAAATCAATGGACGAAACTTGAACCGTGTGCTCTCCGTTGTATTTTTATGGGGTACGAACTCCATCAAAAAGGGTACCGTTGTTACCACCCTCCTTCGTGTCGAATGTATGTTACTATGGATGTCACTTTTTCCGAGTCTGAGATGTATTACCCTTCAGATTCTTCCAATCCTCCTTATTAGGGGAAGAAACATCATAATGAGAAGGATTGGAATGATAATATTGATCTTCCGCTGCCACTAGCTGAGCCTATAGCAGTTGCACTACCAGCTCAGCCAACATCAACCGTAGTGCTGTCCATAGAATCAACGGCAGGCACGGCAATGCCGTCCTTACCCACGGCAACAGTGCTGCCACTTGTCAACTTTGATACTTCTACTGATACTACTCCCCCTTCATCTCCAAATATAGTACCACTAGATGACCTTACTCCTGAGAATATTCCTGAGGCATGCTTTACTATCCCTGTTGATGATACCGTTGTTCCAAATTATCAATTACCTTTCAGGCACAACCGGGGAAAGCTACCCAATCGATATTCACCGGACACAGTGAAAGGCTCTAAATACCTCATTGCCAACTATGTGTCATCACAGAAGTTATCAGAACCCGACAAAGTTTTTGTACAACAAATATCCAATGATAGCACACCAAATTCATTGAAGGAGGCACTATCTGACGATCAA